CAGCTTCATATATTCTGTTCATTTTTTTCTTATCTAAAAGAAACCTATCTCATGTTTCAAACACATTGTACAACAGTTAATAAAGAAAACAGACTGAACACTGTGGTGGTTACATGCAAGATTAACCTCTTTCTCATAGAATTCCCTTACCAGTATCATCCTTTTTAATCCAGTTTAAAAGACTACAAATGGAAGTAGCAAATATAACAAAGCATAGCTTGAAATGTATGCTCCAAATGAGGGAAGGTGTGAATACTGCCAATTCTGCTTTTATTTAATTTTTGTTTGCTATTTTGATTCTGTGCAATCACAGAGAAACTAAGAGAATCACTAGAATGGACAGTGCCTAACCTAAAATATGCTTCCTTGCTAAACCAAAAGACATATTATCATCATAAACTGTAAAATATATTACAAGTACTCATTGGCTCGGAGAACAAATAGGGTTCTCTCCTGGTAGAATGGGGTATTCTCCAGAAGCAAAGAAGTGTATGCAATTATAGTGTGTCACCCAGTCTTTAGTGGAGAAACAGAGGAAGACTACAGAAAGTCTTCTGCAGAGAGGAGGATGATTTTGGAAGGGAAGGTGTCTGAATTTGGAATGTGAGCAAATGACCAACTGGATTTTTACATATGAAAGGTTAGAAGATTTTAAGATAAGCAGATATCCGAAGATGTGATAACACAAACACACAGATACTTGCACTTGTGTATACGTTTCTGTGTTAGAGAGAATCATGAAACAACTACACATTTAAAATTTTTTTTTTTAAACAAACGATTTCCTCTCATCAGTTGGCCTACTTTAATGCCTTTCCCAAAGGGCTCCAAAACCCCCTCTGCCTCAGACTCTAGTGTTCTCAACCTAGTGCTGACTGGTTTCTCACACACAAGCAAAGAATGTAATTACATGACTCTTGTGTTCTTTTTAATGCAATTGGTTCCCATTTATTCGAAAGCTCCATCTGAACCTCACCTTGTTTTTAACTACTTCTTAGGAGCCAGATTCGACAACTGAAGCTTTCACCTCTTATGCCAACACCACTTACTTTACACCTAATGGAGTGCAGTGAAGTCACTCCTGATTTCCAGCCACATAGCTCAGGGCTTGCCTGCACAAGCAAGTTAGACTAATTTAGCTTAAACTTGCCTATACGTCAGTTTGGAAAATCCTGTGCAAAACAATTTATTTTAATTTAAGGTTGGCTTATGCTTCTCCCCCCCGACCCGAGGAATTGACTCAAGCTCAACTGATGTAAACCAGACTGAAATACAGGTATCTATTTGGACTTCTGCATTGATTTAGTATAAAAAGCAGACCTGTGATTTTTAGTCTCTGATGAGAATTAGACTCTTGCCTTCCCTACACTTGTGTGCTACTGACTTTCCTTTTCTCTCTATAAAAGAGGTGGCCAAACTGTAGTGCACATGCCACTCATGCCTGCTTCCACGATATGTTCAATACTGAACTGAGCCACAGCTGCTGGGTCTCGCTGCTCTTACACAGGCAGCACAGTAATTGCCTCCTCAGTCCAGTAAAACCTGTGTAAAAACAGTTAGGAACTACTGCAGCCACCACCTGCATTCAACAATCATGAACAGTGCTGCTGCCCCAAGGCAGACCTGCACTTCTGGTTCATGACACAGGAAGAAGACCAACACATGGTGAAGTAGGAAGAACAGGATTAGGGAGATGGCAAGCACACAGGGGAAGCCAAGGTTCCGCTTTGTCTTTGCTGGAAATGAAGGTCCATGATTTGGGTGTGTGCAGGAGAATGGATGTGGGTGAAGTCTGAAATTAGAGTAAACTTCTGTGGGTGCATGAATGGATAGGGAAGGTTAAGTGTGAGCACTGGACTGCAATCCTAGCTTGGAAGAAAGGAACATGCAGTAGGAAAGATGGGAGAAGAGCCATAGATGAGGCTCCAGTTTTGCATGGTTATAAAAGCATGTGATCCTGGATGCCAGAAGTTACTGATGATGATCATATTCCCGCTAACTAGGTTTGGAAACCCCTGGTCTGTGCTACCTCACCATCATTTCTGCAAGTGTGTCCTTTTTGGGTTCTAATACAGTAAGAGTTTTCTTGCATCCTTGTACCTACTATCTATTTTCTATTCTCTGCCAAAAACATTGTCTTGCATTTCCCTCTGCTTTTATATTTAGCATTGATCTATTATTTAAATTAATGCACTTAATGGCAGGCTCGTCATAAGCAGCACATTTTGAACATTTAAGGGTAACCTACAATGGCCTGTAGAAAATGGTCTACAAAATTAAATTATTTAATAGGAGAATAATTTAAGAGTAACTTTCTATTCTATACTCAATGTTTAAAAACCAAAAGTTTTCTTTAAACATGAATTTTATTTATTTTATGCCTTATTTCAGATCTGAATCACATATACATACACACATATATATACACAAGCTCAAAGTTTCAAAAGCATTCAGTACACAAGAAATTAATGGAATTTTTTAAATTGTTTTATTTCACTCTGGAGTCTGGTTTGGAAAGGAAAACCTTCTAGAGGCCACTCTGGAGTCTGGTTTGGAAAGGAAAACCTTCTAGAGGCTAAAAGCGACATTTGGAACTTTATTTCATAATATATCCTTAAAAGATGCCATATTCCATGGCATCCATGTGTACGTACATGAACAGGTTATTATGTATGCTGTTTTATCATGTGTATGATAGATCACATACATAAACCCAAGAACACTGGGTCTACACAAGTATATATCAAACAATGAGAGATTTAAAAAAATAAAATTTCAGAATTGCATACTATACGTATGTGAATATCTTTTTATACATAACGTATATAAATATATAATAATATATTTATATATGCATAATACATATAATAAATATTTTATTATATATATCTGAAATCTATCAATATATGTAGAAAACCTACCCAAACTATCCAAATCAATACTGTAAAACAGTGAAAAGAAATGGAATTGGTGATCAAAACATACTACTGTTACATGTATTTAAATGTTCATAGAATCTGGAACTGAATTAACTGGTAAAATTAACTTCTGTAGTCAAAACTAATCGAAGTTGCAACATAATTAAGGCATGAAAATAATGGAAAACCAGTCCTACCCTTTCAAAAGCAAATCAAAGAAAAAATCGTCTCCCTGTTGCATGTCACTGGCACAACTTCATTGACAATGATGCATCGATCGATCAGTGCATACCAATTTCACAAACCCGTGGTACAAATGTTTTTATGACAGTGACAACAACACTGGGTCTACAGAAGGAGATCTTTACCAATAAGAAATTTCAAAGATAAAATCTCAGTCTTGATTTCAGCCCCAATCTTCAAACTGTACAGATTCTGAATATCAGCTTTGATGAAGGAAGATTATACTTGGCCTTCTGCCACCCTCCTCTGTAGCCAAAGCATCTTGGTGTGCCTGAAGCAGGAACAGGAAGGAAACTTAACTGAATTATACTCTACTCCAGCTCTGCAGTCTGCTGGACAGCTCTGTGCAAACCTATCACCTGATTATAAGGTAGTTCCATCCCTGGGGTTACCACCATGAACTTAATTTTAAGCACACGTATCTGCGTTCTTTTGAATATCCACATACAAGAGCTCCTAAACTGGATTCTAAATAAATATAATAGAAAAGTACATCAGATAATCCAATTAAAGCCTACACTCATAAACCCATCATTAATGTTGTTTTCACTTCCCTGTCATAAGACATGCTTAGCTCAATTTAGCAGCTGTGCTTACATCTGTATCAATTTCTGAAGTCACTGAAATGTGTGTCACTGCCTGTATCCAATAGTAAACATGGTCCTTAGTCAATATTAATTCTAACCAGAGCTTTGCTCCTTTGAGACAGACAATAAACTGCTTTTTCAACGCTTTTTTTGCAGGATCATAATTATCCTTTTGTATTACACTGCTTTGAGTGCAAGCTAGCTAGATTTTGAAGAAATGCATTCTAAAGTAATTCTGATTTTATAGAAACTATTCTTCCCAATTGTAGGCACCTTTCCTCCATCCTCCCACACATAACTCAAAAATAACTACAGTTCACACAGCAGATGCAGCATAAGGGCTTTTAGAAACAGACCATGTACTGTCATTTTTAAACATAGCTGAGGCTCTGTATTAGTAATATGGACTCAGTCTCCAATTCTACCAAAGGCTCCTTCTGATCTTGGACATGTGATTATTTTTTCTGTTCAATTACTCATGTACAGAAGGGACACAAGTCAACTTTTTGTTCAATGAGTGTTGTAAGGATTGAACAACATCTGTGAAGTATTCAAATACCACATTAAGGACTACTTAAACATGCAAGAAGGCCAAGCAAACAAGTTACAAAGCTGTGGTGGCCAAAACACATCGCAGAACAATCCTCACAATAGGAAAATCTCTTATGTCCTGAGCAGAAATTCAAGTGAGAGGAATTACTACCTTCACAGCAAGGAGATAAATATCTCGCAGACTTATCAAGCCACTTATACCAAACCAAAAAGCGGCCCTGCTCTTTGTACAGTCAGTCCACAAAAGCTTTACAAGTTCCACTGGGTATTTCCACTGAGCGCCTAAATTAACAACCTCCCTAAGCAAACAAACAAACGTACAAGACAGACACGAGATTTCTCTCCTCTTCAATATCTCGTCGGGAAAAAAAAAATTTCAAATCCCACCTAGCCAAATCTGTACAGCAGGGACCCCATGCACGCCAGAAAACAAGGCAGGAAAATGGCCACGTTCCTATATCCCGAGGCGACTTCCACTTTCCGGGTCGCTGCAATGACAGGGTTTGCGGCCCGGCTGCGGAGACGGCACCAGCCCGTAGCACCGGGGGAAGCCGGGGGGCGTGGAGGGTGCGTGTGTGCCCGATCCTCAGGCCGCGGGCCCTCAGGCCCCGGCCGCCCCTCAGG